GACTTTAATATCACCAACCATTCCCATTTTATTATGGTGTATCCATATAAATGGCCCACCCTGTATTACAATAGTGCATGCTTGTATTTAATTTAAACATGGCAAAGGTTGAAATAATGAGTTTAGGCCATGAGACAAAAGCTCAGCCTTCAAACTGCTTTAAATACTCAGTTTCAGGCATATTCAGAGGGCATATTCCTAATATGGTCATCTCAGACACAGATACCCACCCGCACATGCAGTTCTTAAACAGTTTAATTTAGTAGAGTCCAGGAAATCCATTTTATGAAGCCCCTTTAAGGTCTATATTGTTATACAAGACAAACTAAGATCTTAGGTAAAGTCTTACTACAATAAAATGGTGTGTCATCAACCATATCATTAATCCACTTACTATAAGTGCAGCCGGATTCTCTGAGCACGTCATTTCACTACTTTACCTAAGTCCCTATAAACTGTCCTTCAGTTGTCCTTTACCTTCCCATCTCATCACGATGTTTTCCATTAAGGTCAAAAGTACTTAGGATCAGTCAAAGGATGCGATTAAACTATCCATAAGTAGAAAGGGGCTAATTGCTAAAACTTAAAATGCTCAAAGGTTTTAGCAACACCTTTGTAACAGAAATAAATAGTGCTTTTGTTGGAGACTGTTTTAAGCAGCACATTACTAGACTTCCGATATGCTGACAGATACTTCTGCTCCTTGTGGATTTGAAGCATTACACTAACAGATGCTCTGCAAAGGAATCAGCAGTATCAATTTAACCTCTAAGCATGCAGATTAAAATGTGCTAAATCCAGATATGACCATTAAAATACCAAGGTGTTTCAATTTCAATTTGACTAAATTGTCAAACTTGTGTCTATTTATGGTTACCAACAATTTATAAAATTGCAACATCTTAAAAATTGGGAAACAGTCGGTATAGAACAGACTTAACCTCCTAGGACCTAGCGTCCACATATGTGGACATCACATTTTGGGTTGTCTACACCAAAATACTACATTTTGCTCTACAAGGGCCTAGAAGAGTTCGGGTCTTAGGAGGTTAATATGAAACATCACATTAGAAAATAAAGTTAGCATTATTTTATATCAGTTCAAATAAATAACAACTGCTCCGAATTTATTTAGAGCTGTCCAAGCCAGGTCAGGGTGTTGAGCCTAGGTGGGACGTTGTGACACTGCAAAATGTCAGTTTCATCAATTATCTAGAATCCAAAAAATGTTGGTATCATCATTAACAATCACAGGAGAACAGTACGTTGTGATATAAAATGGAAAATTGGATGAATATTTTAGGACAAATGGCCACCTGAAAATCAACACATATCCCCATTTGGGCCTTTTTTTCTCCAACATTCAGCAATCAAAATGTATTGAAGTCATTTTTAGTTTTGATTGATAGCTTTTGATCTTTAAACTAAGAGAATAGCATATAATGACTGACATTTTTAAGCATCATTTTCAGTTGCTGTAACCCTAAATTAGTCATGTCTGACTACATTTATATCAAAAGCATTTTGACTGTAGGCCAGTGTTATTCGCCTCATGCCAGCAAACCACTTAGCAATAAGGTCTGGTTTGTGTTGTAACCACATGCTTAAGAAAAAATGCTTACTTTCAGAAAACTAGAAGTAACCGTAGCTGCCAAATAAAGACTTTTACATATTTTACTTTGTAAAAGATACCTTTGAGCAGCCAAGCGTGTTATGTTAACTTTAAACAGGGGTCTGATGAATGGTAGGAGGTTAATCTAAACAGGCTGCAACAAATCATTTAACAAGATCATGTCATGATTTTGACATTGTAATTGAACTTTCAGACAATAAGAAAAATATAGAACATCTTTTTATTTGAGGCTACATGTCGGTATTCCTGAGTCAGTACCGGTAGTATATTTAATTTTTAAACCACATATACAGCAACCTCTCCCCTCCTCTTGTCCTGTTATGTACTGTCTGTTCAGTCTGTGCTGCCATTAACCCTCTCAGGCTCAAATTAAACTTTTTGTTGCTAATGCACAACCAATTTCTGCTGGTTGCCAATAGACTTCGATAAATGCCACAGATAACTCATTGCCCCCGTAAATTAACTTTCAGACACTTGCGTTTGATCACCTATAATCTCTACTGTTGCACATTGTGTTTGCGTTGCCTAATCATCCCTCCCCGCCTCAATGGCAGCCACCCAGTTTTTACCATGCAGAAAGAATCGCTGTGTCTGACCGAAGCGTCGTGCAAAAACAAGGCGGCGGATTATTTTTATTTAATATGACACATTTTTGCACTCACTTCAGCTGCTGACAGCTTTTCAGCACATTTACATCAAGGGGCATATTAAAAGAGTCTGTGAATTTACTGTGTCATCCTTGAAGATGTATTATGTGCCTTTTTCTTAGCTGAGAAAAAGAAAATGAAGTAGTCTTGGTTTAGAATTAGGTTTCAAGCATTTGATTAAATGATGCTTCCATATGGATTTCTGTTTTAAAGGTACACATGAAGTGGCATTAGTGCCTTCCATTCATCATTATTAGGATTAGGATCTTATTTGTTTATTCTACACTTTCAATCGAGTCCAGCCTGTAACATTATGCTGTTTTGTTTCACTTCCTCCATCTGACTAGCATCTTTTATTCCTGCTAATATAATTTCCTGCTTCTTCAAAGCCGTATTGTGATGTGTTGTGTTTAGAATTTCCTTACAAGTTTTCTTACAATGCTCCTGAGTGCTTTTCTTGTCATTTAAAGCTGAAAGGATCATTGTTTTATGTTTCTTCATTGTGATTTGAGGTTGTTCATTTGTTTCCCAGGTCCATGGGGAAGGTGTATGGGCAGCGACTGCGGCCTGGGTGGCAGCCAAAGCCGGGCAGTCTGGTGTGCCCATGTGGATGGCTGGACAACACTTCACACCAACTGCGACCAGGCACAGCGTCCCTCAAACCAGAGAAACTGTTTCCGTGTGTGCGACTGGCACAAGGACCTTTATGACTGGAAACTGGGTGCCTGGAATGAGTGCGTGCCAGTATCAGCAAGGACCTTTGGGGCCCCACGGCAGTTCACGTGCAGTGGAGGCGAAGAGGGCATTCAGACCCGGGAGGTGGGCTGCATACTCAAGTCAGACGGATCTCCAGCAGAGGATGCCATCTGTGAGTACTTTGAACCCAAGCCTCGTCTAGAGCAGGCATGTTTGATCCCTTGCCCTCAGGATTGTGTGGTTTCTGAGTACTCGCCATGGACATCCTGCTCCAAAACATGTGGAACAGGCCTCAGGAACAGAGTACGCAGTGTCCTAGTCCCTCCGCTTTTTGGAGGCGCTGCCTGTCCCAACCTGACTGAGTTCCAGTCTTGCAAACCAGGGCCTTGCACAGGTCCAGAGGGCATGTACAGTCTCAGGGTTGGACCGTGGAACCCTTGTGCCCTCCCGCAAACTCGGACAGCTCGCCAAGTTAAACGCAGGAAAGGCAAAGGGCAAGGGCTCCGGGAGAGGGCAGGAGTAAAAGATCCCGAGACTAGGGAGCTTATCCAGAAGAAGCGTACCAGGAACCGCCTCAACCGGCAAGAGAGTCCCTTCTGGGACATTCAGGTGGGCTACCAGAATCGGGAGGTGACCTGCATCCATAGGAATGGGAGCACTGTGGGACGCAAGTGAGTGGCAATATCTTTGTGGTAATGTGTATGTTGTTGGTTTTTTTGTTTGTGTGTGCGCTTTTATTCCCCCTCAGCATAAATTTAAGCTTCCTTTCTTAGGTATTACTGCAAATGCTTTTGCTGAATTTTTAAACTAAAGCATGTTTCCCCTGCCTTTCAGGCTTTTTGCCTAATGTAATCAATATGTCTGTTTTCATATTTTCTTTGTGTTGCTGACTATTGATTACTCTATGTATTTGTATTTTTGTCCATTTATTTTTGTCAGAAGGGTCATCTGGTGAATTTCTGAACATGAAGCCAAATTTGTCCTCCTGAAAGTTTTTCTTCACCCTGTCATGAAGTGACATGCAGGGGAGGATGTTTATCCGCTGTGTCTTTGTCACTGCTGTGCTGTCAGAGCAATGAGGCACAACTCCCTGTACAATGTATTTCATGTCAACTTCTGAAGATGGAAGTGGAAAAGAAAAACTCCTTTTGTGACACGAGATCAATCTGAACTATGAATCTGTGTGGTACTTCGAAATATGGCAATTTTCAGTGTTTTGCCCTGTGGTTTCGAATCAGATGTTTTATGAAAAGCGTTGCTCAAAATGCCACCAAAAGGATGTTTTTCTTGCAAAAAAACGAAGGAACAAGGTTATGGTAGCCAAGGATATAGGTTAAAGGCACAGTTTACACAAACCATTCATTAATTGCAGTGCAGCCTCAGTCATCTATATCCTTACAGGCCCCTATGGGTGTGGATGGGCCTATACTGGACAAACAAACAGAGCTCTCTGACAGCGCTTTTCAGAGCATAAAGCAGGGAATGCTGTGTATATCATAGCCAAACACTATCATGAGGCCAAACATGGCTCCCCTGCCACTCTGCATTTCATTGGACTTTAATGTGTAGCTCTTCCTGCCAAAGGGTGCAATCTATCAAAGCTGCCTTCTCAGAGAGAGATGTATTGAATCCCTATATTTAATATATGACACATGGTGAACTGAAAGATGATTTTTAGTTTAAAAGTTTATATGCAATACAAAAAAACAGAATACTCAGTACAGAACTTGTTACCTCCGTACATTTTACTTTCCAGCTCAGGATTGTGCAGGGGCTAGAGTCTATTCCATAGTTACTGGCCGATGAGTGGGGTACACAGAGAGAGCAGACGCAAGGAGAACAAGCAAACTCCACACAGTAAGGCCCGGTCTGGCTGGTGGATTCAAACCTAGCACCTTCTTGCTGTGAGACGACGATGCTAGCTACTACTACTTTGTTTTTAATTCATGTCATACTATCCAAAAATGTATATAGGATGTAGGATCAGGAATATAAATGACAGGACCTCTATTTTCTCCCACATTCTGATGAATGCTAAAGATCCAAAGTGTTAGAAGGTCTGTTGACATGGCCAAAATAAATCAGGAAAATATCGATTTCTCAGCTTCTTCCTGATGTGTTGTGCTGCTTGTTTTCCACTCAGCTCGGCCTCATTAGAAAACATGAAATGGTCACAAAAAAGTAATCTAACTCATGTGTGTGTGTTCATGGATACAAATCATCAGTATGGATATATAGTTAAAGTATTTATATTTTGTGTAAGAAACACATATTTTGCCCAGAGATAGATGGGAGGCATAAACACGCCAATGAAGAAAACAAAGCTTTAAAAGAGGTGAAAAATATTGCATTATAACCCAAAACATAATTATCTGGAAATAAGAACCTAATTGTTTTTAATTCCATTTTAATATATTTTAGTTCAGACAATCCAGGCTCAGGTACAGTTATTATAAAGACACTCTATTTAAGCTGCTTTAGCCTGCTGCATGCTCCAAGCTGCTTTGCAACCCACCTTCATTCCAGGTCCTCCTTTTTGTGCTGTTTCATAACGTTTCATCATCAGTGTCAGATCTGTTGTCATGCATGCTCCTGCTCTGTTCTGTTCTTGTCTCTTGTTGCTGCTCCTCTCCCCACGTCCAGGTTTCCAATTATGCACATAGTAGGGGTCGGGGCAATTACTGCAAATGGAAATCTTTTTATGCTTAAGAGTGAACTGCAGAACAACTCGGCATGCTCACATAACAGACAAGTGGACAATCTAGTGTCATTATGTGTGATTTAACCCTCTCAGGCTCAAATTAAACTTTTTGTTGCTAATGCACAACCAAGTTCTGCAGTGGTACTTCTGAGTAAAAAAAACTCATAAAATATGTATGTGGGGTAATCAGGTTGTTAGTTTTTAACTGTTGCAAATCTGCAACGCCTGCCTTGAGAGTGAAGTTACTAAAAGAAACCTCTAAAGATATAGATAAAGAAATTGGTTTGAGAGACATCAATTGTGAGTGGGAGATAAAAGAAGTCAGTAATTGTAAAGCAATATCATAAAGTGAAAAATTGGAACCACATCAAACAGATCACTATTCAAATAGGTCACTAAATTACACCTTCAGTGGGTACTTTTACCCAAAATACATGGTTTAACTGTACGAGTGCTTCCACTTATACTGCTAAGCTGATGGGGAATCTAATCTTTTGCCCTGACATTATAGCTGTGAGCTACACTGTCTGACTCAAAATAAGATAGATCAAATAGCTCTGAGCTCCATCTCACTCACTCTAGTTCCTGCCTGAAACGCCCATCAAACATTTACTCCCCTCTCTGCTAGAGATCACCGTATTTGATAGAAGGGCATTGCTAACAGAAACCTTTCACGGTATCTTTTTTAACATGATTAATTACCACAGAGATACTCTAGCAGTATGCTGTTCTCAAAACTTACATTCATCAAGTAAACATCAGACTTATTGTTCCCCAGTAAATTTTAGGCAGTGCTAAAGTCTAATGTCCCTCCCACAGACTCTGTTGTGGAGAAACTATTTTTTCTGACTGGCTAATTGATATTATGAATCATTATCTCTAATGAGCTCATTTACAGTTGCGTACATTTTGTATCCTGGGAAGATTGCAGGATTGCATTGCTGTACCAAAATGAAAAAGCCAAGCTGGGCGACTGTGGCTAGTCACTGGAAGGTGTCCGGCTGATCTGCTTCACAAGTGTCCTTGGGCAAAATACTGAACCCCAAAATTAGTCCGATGCATCCATCGGTCTAGTTTTGTGTCCTGGATAAGACAAGAGTTGTATGATAGGTGTGGTTTGCTGGTTTTTCCCATCTGGTCTACACATCTTTTCCAATGCTTACTTATTTTTATCCTGAGTGGGGACATAATTTACCTATACTTCAAAGTACTTAACACTACTTTGACAGCTATATGATATAGTTGGTTTTCCACTGCAAGTTGAAACAGTTTATACTGCAAGTCAAGATTAGCTTGGGCTTTCAGCAGCTAAAATAATCTGGAAATACAATAATGGTATAAAAGAAAGTAAAAAAAACTAAAAAGAGAAGGTACATATTCTGTCTGTTCTATATGGAAGAGGATTAGGGCCACTGGGGGAAAAAAGGTGGGCATGTCTTTTTTTTTTCTTCTTTTCCTGAATTCTGAGAAAAAAGTCAGAATTCTGAGAAAAAAGTCAGAATTCTGAGATTAAAGTCAGAATTCTGACTTTTTCTCAGAATTCTGACTTTTTCTCAGAATTCTGACTTTTTTCTCAGATTTTTTTTCTAGTAGTTCTAATATTTACATGTCAGGACATGAATAAAAAATATTTTTAGTCTTTACCGGGATGTAAAATTAGGCAAATACAACCACAGATAAATAACATCACATGACATATTACATTGTTTCAAAATGTATTTAACTATTAAACCAAAATGCAGAAGCAGTGTCTGAATCTAAGTGCACCTAATGATTAACTTTTAGCAGCAATAACTTAAAGTACACAGCATTGCTGCAGTTCATTGAGGTTTGCAGGCATTTATTTATGTACAACACTATTATGGTTTATCCAAATCATTTCAATCAGGTTGCAGTCTGAACTTTGATTGGGCCATTCCAACACCTTGATTCTATTCTCTTTTTTTGTGATTAAACTTGTGTGCTTGAGATCTTTTTCCTATTTCTGCCACACTTTAGCTGTGAGAGACATTTTACATAGAAGTATTCATAGTATACATAAGAGTATATAGAGTTTGCAGTTGACTCAATGACTGCAAAGTAATTGAAGTCATTGAGTTGGTGTGGGCTTCTTTTATAGCCTAAATCACTACCCCTCCACCACAGTGTATGACAGTTGGTGTGAGGTGGTTGCATTAATATGCAGTGTTTAGTTTTCTTCACACATGGTACTCTGCATTATGGCCAAACATGTCCACATTGGTCTGATCAGTCCAAAGACATTGTTGGCAAAGTCTTGTGGTTGGTTCAGATGCAATTTTACAAATCTAAACCAGGCTGCCATGTTATTTTTAGAGAGAAGAGGCTTTCTCCTGGCAACTCTTCCAAATAAGACACACACCTTTTTCTAGTTGCACCATCATGAATAACGTGCTAAGTGAGGCCTTTAGAGTCTGAGATGTGGCTCTTGGGTTTTCCGCTATTTCTCTTAGCATTGCTACTCCGACCTTGGGTTAAATTTTCCTAGGTCATCCAATCCAGCCAAAATTGGAAACAGCCTTTAATTTTTTGAATTTATGAATAATTTTTCTCATTGAAGAATGAGAAATGGTCTTATAATCCTTGCCAGATTGATGGGCAGCAACAAAATCATTGCTGAAGATCATTCACAATCATTGGCGATGTCTTTCCTTCGTGGCATGGTGTTATGATTCAGACTGCCAAAACTTATATTGTTATTATATTTCAATACTTTCAATATACTTTTACACTGCTTCTGCCTGTTGGCTCAATTGTTGGTGAATAAATAATGACATGGAGGAATATGTTGTTATCTGTGGTTGAATTTGTTAAGGCCCCTTAAGAATCTGATTATTTCTATTATGTCCTGATATCTAAAAGCTTACTGCTTTCTTTGTACCATGGCTATAGATCTACAATGATCCATGGATAGCTTTCAATATGCTACCAAGCATAATGGGCTATTTCAGT